TATTATGTATTGTACAGAATGCACTCCCCCCGGGGGGGGCACTTGGGTATTTTTTGGGTGGGTATGTGCCGCCCGGGATTCCAAATTAGCACCCCGTTCTACAAAAAAATTCCCCTAAAATTGATACCCCGTTCTAGAAATGGGCCAATCTTTTATACCCCGTTCTAGAATTCGCCCTAAAACTGCTACCCCGTTCTAGAAATGGGTCAATTTTTTATACTCCGTTCTAGGGTGCAACTGAAGAGTACAACAGTTTGCTTTTTAACGCATTGAACCGTATTTTTGAAAGCAATCTGTCGTTGAATAATTTCAAATGGCTGCTTACAAAAGTGGAGCTTTTGTGCGTTCGAAATATTACACCCCTTTCTAGAAAACGCGTCTGAAATGGATACCCCGTTCTAAATCACGAGCTTCAAAATCACGACCCCTTTGGGCGGCACATACCCGTATAGGTAATGTATGGGAGTACCCGCCCCCCCGGGGCACTCCCCCATGCCTTGAGGCGGAGTTAGCAAACTACAACTGAAATTAGCCAACCGATTGTCACACTAACATCCGTACGAGCGCTTGTGTATCATTTGTGACGTCATCGTTTTTAACCTGAGAGGATGAGTTCGACTTCCGTTAAAAACTAATGCGTATGAAAAGCAAATCATCCTAAACGTAGCCAGATGCAGTGACACTGACTGAGTGTCCAGAGTTAAGAAAATATCAACAGTGTGCCGGACTGCGTGAAATTTGTTGACTTTTCTTGCGTCACGAATAATTTCTAAAATTTTTTCTCGTTCACGGAAAAATCAAGTAATTCACGTTTCACGGAAAATTGAAAAATAAATTCAAGTAATAATGTTTTCTATTGACTAACCTGCTTACGGTCCAAAGGCAACTCGTTAAAATTACCTTGAAATTTCACTCAATCAGTGTTAGGGTACCGTAAAATTCCGTGTATGAGCCCCTCCAAATATAAGCGCCCCAAAATGTTAAGGCCAAAAACCCTCCGTGAAATCGCCCCTCCGAATATAAGCCCCCCTGGGGGGCTTGTACTCGGAATTTGCCCTTGAATACAAAGTAAAACAAAGCAAAATTGGTAAATTTCCTTCCCACTACAAGCTAGCCCAATCGATTTTGAAACGCAAATTTCCCTCCGTACTTAAGCCCCTCTGAATATAAGCCCCTCCAAAATAAGACCCTCAAAAAGGGCCTTTGAAAAATATAGGCCCCGGGGCTTATTTTCGGAATTTTACGGTATTGGTAATGCTTCTAATGAACCAGATACCGTAAGGCAGATTTACACAAAAAGACCGTTAACAGCAGGTCAGTGGCATTCCACAAATTTAAGACAAAACCGCCATTTCATTCATCCACATTGAAAACGTATTACTCTAAGAACGTGTTTGTGGAATGTTCAGTTTTTGAATTCTTAGCCAGTTATTTTCATTTTATTCGATTGTTTACAGTCAAACCAGGTCAAGCGTTCCCGTCGCTAACAAACTAACGAATTCATTAATGGAAAAATGATTTCGTTTGTTGATTCAATAATCCATTCATAAAATGAATAATCCAACGGTCAAATTGTACCTCGATTCAATAATCAAATGTTGATTTGGTTTATGAACAAAATCTACCTGTTCTTTATTCTTGTCTGTTGTGTTCAATCGTATTTGCTTCCCTTTTCCTGCTGTTTACGATTGCGTTTTTCATTGCCTTTAATCAAAATAACAGCTAGAATAGACAGACCGCAAACGCAAAGAAACTGACAAAGGCCGAGGATCGAAATCCACCAATCACCGCACATACACTGACCTCAGTTTGACCGTCGTGTTTTCTAAGAGGTCAGGCCTAGGTCTGTTGCACTGATTATTGGTAGCAAACTGGCGTACATGTAACAGTTTGTTTGGGTTTGAACTTCAGAACTCGCCAGCACTCGACTCAGAGAAAAAAAAAGAGGAAAAAACAAATTCTGAGGTCAACTTGTGGAAAGTGTAATTTTTCAAAAAACAGTAATCGAATCAACATTCGATTATGGAATCGAGGCTAAATATGACTATTGGATTGTTCATTTTATGAATGGATTATTGAATCAACAAACGAAATCATTTTTCCGTGAATGAATTCATTAGTTCGTTAGCGACGGGAACGCTTGACTTGGTTTGACTGTAAGCTTAAAAAATTCAGTATTAGTGTAACAGTATTACTTCTGTCCGTCCATCCGTCCGTCTATATGTCCGTCCGTCTATCCATCCAATTCGCTGGATGTGTTCAACAGCAGTTTCTGCCTCTTGTTTGGTTTGGTCATGATGTGGTTTTTTCGCCACAATATGTTGCATACAATGATATTAAACTTAAAAAGTAAACATAAAGGTTGAAGCTTAGAGCAAAACATTGACTCACCTGTGCCCTTATATTTTATTTCTTTTTCTAAAGAATCAATTTCAGTTTCCAGTTCTAAGAGAAGAAAAAACGTCCTGACAATTACAATGAACCACTTTGTAGTGAAAAAATCCTTAATCTTCCATAACAGCATAGGACGCTTCCTAGGTGTTTGTGATGATTTGTTTTTCTAGCTATATACAACTTTGATGAAGCGCAAGTTCGAGCAAGTCATCATAACGGCTATCACAGTGCTTTGCTGAAGCAACCTAGCAAGATCTACAAAATATCTCTTTTCCCTTCCTCCTCAACGCCTTTCGACGCCAGTTACGTCAAGCTACAGGCAGATGAAATAGACACGGTCTTTTCTTTGTCCCTTTTACAGTTTGAACGGGTACATACTGTACAGTACATGTGTTTGACATGCCTCATAGAAACAGAATAGCACTCGAACACCGTGAGAGAATGATCAGAGCGTTCGAAGATGACAATTATATAACGAAGATTACTTGCTTGTAGCTGATACCCTTGGAGTCAACAGATCAACTGCAAGAGGAATAGAACTTTTTACCGATACGGCGGTCATATTGAATGTGTTATGGGATGCCCAGGGGGGGGGGGGGGGGCACTCGCTCAGTATTTACGCGCGCTTTTTGGGCAAAAAGAGAACTTCACATGATTTCTCGGGAAAAAGGCGATCATTATTACATCCTAACATGGCATAACTATCTTTTTTTCCCATTGCAATCTTTTTATAGGAAACATTTGCCTGAAAAGCGCGCGTAAATACTTAGCGAGTATATCGGATCGTGCTCGTGCCCCCCCGGGCATCCCATAATACTCCTTAAATCTAACTAATTCAACATGGCCGCGGTATCGGTATAAAGGTCTATAGTCGCCAGGTACATTCGGGAAGGAATAATTGCAGAAAGACCACGTGGTGGCAGAAACCATGTTAGAGTTGATGCCGAGATGAGGGATTGTCTTAATGACATTTTGAACGAGAACTTGCTATTAACATTGGCTCAGATAACCGCGAGCCTAAAATCCATGACCGCACTGTGGCAAGTGCGTTTGAGAGAATGCTGTTCCGAGTGAAACTGGTCAAGCCTCTCCCAGCCGAGAGTTATAGACCACACGTGATACAGAGACGGGCTGGCTATACAAATTTGTTTATGCGCTATGCCGTGGTAAACCATAGCGTATTTGTGGACGAATTGAATACGGTTACAATATCTGGACTGCAAGAAGTCACGGCAGAGCTGTAAGAGGGAAGAGGACATACCGGTGGGTTTGTGGACAGCGTGGGAGAAACTTCACTGTCACAATGGCAATTTCTCCAACAAATGGCCTTATTTTCCATTCTGGGATCCTTGGAGGAATGATACTCAGAGGTTTAACGACTTTTTGCAGCAGGCCAGGCACAACCTAGACCCTGATGAACATGTGATTTTTATTTACGATGACGCACCAGCCCGCCGCAACCCTGCGAACCCCGGTCCGAACAGCGAGCTTAAGATGCTCCCGCCGTACAGCGGCGAACAAACTAGTGAACCAAACTCTTCGTTGAAATGAAATTTTATTTTCTGGTATTGAACAGCATAAGGTGCACAAGCGTTCTGCTCGTGTGGAATATAATTTATTCCGTTTATTCCAAGATTGGAATTGCAGATCAATCCAACGAATTTTCCGGATTCCCAGCATTCCAGAATACGGTCGGGAAAGCACCTAAGGTCTGACCGCGACGGAACGCTGGTCACTTCCCCCCAATCCCCCTGTCTTTTCCCTTCCTCCCCAACACCTTTCGACACCAGCTACGCAGACTACAGGCAGATGGACTAAACAAGACCTTTCTTTGTTCCTGTTAATCCCTTCATTCTAATCATCTTTATGGAGTGACACCTTTGCTTTCTATAGTCCAGTTGCTCTGGATATATTTAACAAGCTTATGTTATTACATTCTCAAAGAAGAACTGGCACTCACGACGTATATTCCTTGTATTAAGACATTAAAGTTTGAAGCCCCCCACTCCACCGCCCTCTATTTGCCACCATACTGAACCCTTAGCTTAGCCTGCATAGCTGGCGGTTTAATGGTCGAGCGCGCAAATGAGCGTCAGAGCCACGAGGAGAACAAGGTAGAGACAACTCTCGTTCGAGTGCTTTCTCGTCCCCAGAGCCTCGTGTTCCTTTAGCCGGCGAGGCCTGAGTAGGAGCACCAGATGGCTCTGGGGACAAACTGGGGACACAGGATTTGAAGTCCTAGATTTTAGGACTTCCGGTCATTTCCGATTCAAAAGTAAGTTGGAGGATTCTCTTTTAAAAGCTTGGAATCACCTAAATTTACAGTCATTGACACTTCGGCAACATTAAAAACGTTGTAGAAGTCCTAGAATCTAGGACTTTAAATACTGTGTCCCTAGAGCCTCCTGGTCCTCGTGCTCAGGCCTCGCCGTCTATAGGAACAGGAGGCTCTGGGGACGAAAATGGTTTGAGTGCGCTTCGCGCGCCTTTTGGCAGCTACGCTGCTCATTTGCCCTCCCGCCGATAAAACGCCGCTACGCAGGCAAACCTTAGCTTTAATTAACATATTGGTGTTTTTAAGAAATACTTATATTTTTACCCTTTATTCAATCGCTACCGCAGTAGCGGACGTAGCACTTGTTATCTGGTGTGCCATTGAGATAGTAAACATAGTATTCACCGCAATTTCTAACTTGAATATATTTGAAGTAGAAACAACACTGATTATTAAACTGGAAACAGGCCATCCTGGTGACCCGTCCGTCTGCCAATGAGGGCAGCTCCCCCTTCATCCAGCCATTCGCACCACTGTTACAGCTCCAGTGTGGTGGGCATGTAGTTGCCATCCGTGTTCCTGCCTCGTCTTGATACCGAAACCACCCAGGAACAATATCTGCATCACATTCGACGCCGCTTTTACCATAATTCACGTTTCGGTCAGCACTCGTCAGGTTTTTGTAATTTTGACATTCTAAAAAAAATCAACGGAAAAGGAGTAGAACAAAGAGGGTTTTGAAAAATGAGAAATTACATGACAACGCCCTAGCTTTCTATAGTAATATGCCTGCGTTTCGACGCCACTTTAAGTGGCCATCTAAGCGAGACAACTATCCTGTCGACTATCAGACAGGGGCGTTTATAACAGTGGGCACGATTTTCTTTTTAGTAGCAGTAACCTTACCATCGTTCGAGCCATGTACTTGCAGGTTCTTTAACTCTGAAAACAACAACAACAACAAACAACAATAACATTAAACCACACACCGAGACTGTTAAATTCAGTATTAAATCGCAGGCCGGCCACAAATCATTTAACACAGCTCTATTTCAGTTTGATTTGTGGATGAAGTCTTATGGTGTTACCTCTCAAATGAAACTTCTTCAGCAGTACTTTCACATGATACTATTTACATCAAGAGAGGATAAAGGGGACAGAGAAGGCATCCCCCATACACACCCTATTCCATAGGTAATTCGTCTCGAGTTATTTTTGGAATCGAGATAAAGTTACCACGCGCGCTGCGTGGATGTTACGTGAAGGTTTGGCATGACTAAACGCCGTGCAAAACGTGTCGGAGGGTAATGAAAGCGTAAAGAGATCGTGAGCATTTCTGAATATTGAAGCGAAATGAGTCGGCGCTTACCTGGGAAAAGGGAATCGCTCGACTCTTTGACAACCCGTGAAATCAGTTTAACTCGAAGTTATCGTAACCTCAATGCTTTAACAAAATGAGAAATTTCGCCAGTCTATTGAAACCGGTTGTTTTTACAATAAAGCAAGTAGCAAGTAATATTCATATAGATGTAATTAGTTTTACAAATTTGAATTTTATTGTAGTTTTTTAAGTTGTTAAGCGCTGTTGATCAGTAAGTGTAAATAGCGCTCTAGAAGTTATTCATTATTATTATTATAGGACGCCAAGTGTTATTTTTGTTGAATATAAAAAGACTAATGAAAGAATAAATATCAAACCAGAAATTGCTCTCTTCAAACTGTAAATTATAAATGATCCTGAGAGAATATTCAGTGTGTTAAGGATTTCCCTGCTGTACTGTTAGCTCTATGCGAGAGAGGATGGGCGATTCTTTTTTAATTTTCATTTCGCGGACACAGCTTTAGCAGAAATCTCTCGTTTTCGTCGACAAAACGAATAGCAATATCGCTCTCCGCCTCTTCCGCCATTTTTTTCTGCCTCAATTCGTGAAGGACGCGTGGCTCTGAGGGTGGGTCATCCACGCGGAACACATTCGCGCTATGTGATTGGCTGTTGTCCAATCCCTCTTGGGATCTGTGGTCTTAAAAATAACTCTAGACGAATTACCTATTGAATAGGGTGTATACGGAGGATGCCTTCTCTGTCCCCTTTATCCTCTCTTGATTTACATGTATTAAGTATGTACTTCCAAAATTGAGTCTGGATGAAATCCTACGGTGTTACCATTCGAATGAAGCCTTTTCAT